CATTGAATCCAACTTGTAAGTAAATGGCCCCTACAGGGATCAAACCCACAACCTTGGCCTTATTAGCCCTGTGCTCTAACCAACTGAACTGATCTCAGCCTTTTTAGACTTCACCTGAATTTGAAATCTAAGAAGCCTTAGATGATGGAGGCTATGTTCCACTTTCAATTATCTGTAGAATCTCGAGGCAAACATCTCATAAAGTGCTATCAGGCTATTTCACTAAAACCTCAAGAAACCCTGATTTTGAGAACATTAAATTTTCCAAATGAACTGAAGTTGGATGTGCAGAAAAACAAAGTGATCAATTTCCTTTTAGAGCAAAGTTTCAGCCCAGAATTTGAGGGAGACCATCTGTCATTATAATTACATGTACATCTAAGTGTCCTGTCTGAAATCTCTCTTGAGGCAGGAGGGAGACTAGAGGGGAAAGGGGCTCTGCGAGCCAGAGCATCCAGGGCTAGAGTCACAGAAGTTCTCAGCAGCAACGGGCACACGGGAAGAAAGGCTGGTGAGTTGGAAGCTTTTGGGTAGGAGGTTGAATGGAGATGCCTGAGAATGGGATAACAAGAAGATAAGGGATTTTTTTGCAAGAGAGCTCAAAGGTACACATTTTGGAGATAGAAAGGAGAAGTAGAGGTCTTAGATCCAGAAGGTTAAATTTTATAAAAGAACAGCTGTGCAACAGGGTGATAGAGTCAGGGATTTGAGCTATGGTCAGGGAGCTAGGGATAATAAAGAGATTCTTTTCCCAGGCCTGTTAACCCCATATCTATGAGGTGCCTTTTTCACTCAACTGAGTGTTTTATTATAGGATGATGGCGATATCCACTGGTCTCCATACTTTGTAAGTATTATGAAAATTGAAAAAAAAGTCCTATAGGGCATTCAATCACCTGAGCAGGGAGGTTTCACTTGTCTTTGTGTTCTTTACCTTAGTAAAAAAAATATTTTATTCTGAGTTTGTCATGGTAGTCACAAGATTTTAAGAGATCCCAGGGAAAAATATTTTCATTGCTTTCAAACCTGATGCAGTTCCCTGTTTATCCTCACTGCAAACCAGTGGACAGTCCAAATGGAGCCTGAAGCTCCTCATCAGCAGCCAGTTGCCTTGCCAGGAGTTTCAGCAATCCACCTGATGGCTGGCAGTTGCTCCTTCATCTATTCTTGTTCCCATAGAAACAGAGACAAAATAGTCAAACTTAGGTAAAGCTTTTTTTTCTCCCTTTTTTTTTTCCTGAAAGAAACAACAACAGCAAAGATGTTCATGAAGTGCTCCTTATTTTCTGTGACCTCGGGCTCTTTTTCATTGGAACTGACAGAAAGTAAGCAACCAGCTAGGGAACCATAAGATCCTGTGGAAACTACAAGAGGTACAGGCTCAAGTGGTATAGAGATATTGAGATATTTCCTCAGGAAAGCATACAGACAATGAATCAACAGCAGTGACAGATCAGTAGGAGTTTATCAGATAAAAAATAAACAAAAAAAAATAATGGAAAAAACCACCTGTAGGCATGAGTTCCTGTCTTTGTAATTTAATGGTATTCACTGGCCCTAGTGAGTGAGAAGCAAAATAAATTGTTTGGGTTTCTTTCACTATTCCATATACAGATATGATCAAAACATTTGTTGAAATTGAATTCTTCCTTTTGTTATAACCATTTTCTGTAAAGCTACAGTCTTGTAGATTTGTAAGTGCTTGTGCTCACACATCTTTTGGGCAATATGTTGCTTTCACTTATTCCTACTGAAATTATTTTGGTTCTCTAATGGTGCAGAGGAGAAGCAGTTGGCCCAGCAACTGTGTTTTATGGCACACGTTCCTGTAAAGGAAGATAATTTTACTTGGCATTTAAATATGCCAAAAAGAAAAAGAAACTATCTTTCCCAGAATGGGCTCCATCCTGCCTCAAAATTGGTAGATTTTATCAGCTATGAAGCCCTTCAGAAGGGCCTTGACAAGTTGGAGAGATGGGAAGAGAAGAACCATCTGAAATTCAACAAAGGCAAATGCAGGGTGTTGCACCTGGGAAAGAATAATCCCCTGCACCAGTACAGGCTGGTGCCTGTAGCTCTGCAGCTCTGCGGAGAAGGACCTGAGAATCCTGGGGGACAACAAGCTATCTGTGAGTGAGCAGTGTGACCTTGTGTCCAAGAAGGCCAATGGTATCCTGGGGTGCATTTGAAAGAGTATGGCCAGCAGGTTGAGGGAGGTGATCCTGCCCCTCTGCTCAGCCCTGCTGAGGCCACATCTGCAGCACTGTGTCCAGTGCTGGGCTCCTCAGTACAAGAAAAACGTGGAGCTCCTGGAGTGGGTCCAGTGGAGGGCAGCGAAGATCATAAAGGGACTGGAGTATCTCTCTTACAAGGAGTAGGTGAGGGAGTTGGGCCTGTTCAGCCTTGAGACAACTGAGATGGGACCTCATCAATGTCTCTAAGTATTTGAAGGGAAGGTGTCAAGAGGATGGAGCCAGGCTCTTCTCTATGGTGCCAAGCAATAGGACAAGTGGCAACGGGCAGAAACTGGTGCACAGAAAGTTCCACCTGAATATGAGGTAGAACTTCTTTACTGTGTGGGTGAACACACAGTGGAACGAGTTGCCCAGAGGGGTTGTGGGCTCTCCCTCGCTGGAGATGTTTAAGAACCATCTGGACACAATCCTGTGCCATGTGCTCTAGGATGAACCTGCTTGAGCAGGGAGGTTGGACCAGATGTCCCCCTGTGGTCCTTTCCAACCTGACCCATCCTGTGATTCTGTGGTGTTTCAGACAGACATATCACGTATGAATGACAGTCCTCCATCTGGATTCAGACTAATCACAGAATTGTCACCCCCTGTCCATCATCCCCAATAAGACTTTTTGATTCTCTTAGTGAGATATTACATGAGCAGGTGGATGTCCATTTAAAACCAGTCTCCAGATAGATTTGTTAACAAGCTGGAAAAACATCCATCCCAAAAGTTACTGTAATGAAAAGCACCATTCTAGGAGCTAGTTTCCATATTGTGACATGATTTTACAACATTTTTTGGTGTGTTTTCATGATAATTTAGAATCTTATATATGCAGACACTAATTCTTGTGGTCTTCATGCCTCGGCATCCTTGAGGTACTTCTACTGCAACAGATGAGAAAGCTAACTAAGCTGGTGATTGTCAAGACTAATAAAATGGCTAAGGAAAACTGAAATCTTTTGTCTGTATGTATGAGAAACATCTATTTCCAATAGCACTTTCACATTTTAATGCAGACAGGAGTGATTCCTTGATGGTTTTCGTTAGTAAGGAACATTTAGAATTTTACTTAAAGTGCATTTGCTAACGAGCACTTACTTTTCTTCCATCGTTTTCTTACTTGAAGTAGAAGGAAGTAATTTTACATGTTATGAGACGTCAAATAATGGTGAATCCTGCCTCTTCTTAAAAGCTGGTAGACAGAAATCTGCAATTTCAATTTAGAACAGCTACGAGACTTAAAAAAATGAGATTGATTTATTAATTTATTTTTAAGGGATAGACAAACCTAGATTCTCTGCTTTACTATTCCTTACTTCCTGGTGCCCCATACATCAATTCATTCAGTTTCTTTGCAGCTGACTCAAAAATTTGAACTCTCTGCTGAACATGGACTTGATGTAACTTATTTTTATTCATAACTTGAGACTCAAGCAAGATAATAATAAAAACTCTTACTTCACCATCTCACCTATATTGAAGATCGCACCTTTTGTATATAGAAGATTACACTGAAAATTACCTACAAAATGTAGAGTTCATTTTTTTAGAGCATCACAATGGATAGACAAGGTTGAATCAGAGGTCTGACTAACCCCAAAAGGCCAGAAGAGGTGAGTAATTGAGAGAATAGTGACAGAATAGGCATATACTGACAACTCCCCCCAACACTTTCTGTTTCCTGGAGAGCTACACACACTGCACATAGGTGACCTATATTAAATAAATCCTTACATGCTACAGAATTGTTAGATTTCAATTCCACAAACTTGTCCAAGCAAACCTGTCTTGCTTTTTAAGCTTATTCAAGAACTTAATATTCTCTGGCCAAAGATTTGAAGGTCCTCCATGTGTTGCATGGAGGACTAATGCTTCTTTGATTTCTTTGCAACTGAATCATTGCCATTTTTTGTCGATGTTTCCCTCAGTAAACGAAGTCTGAGAGCTTCACCATGAGGTCTGGTATACCGTTGCCTTGTGCTTATTGATAAAAAGATCTACTAACCATTTGCTTACCTAAAGCTGCACTGTAAGAGAAATAGGGACTTAAACTTCAGCAAATCCTATTTAAACTAGAAACTGAACTGTCTCTACCAATAAATGATGACCTGGGTGAAGATAAAACAACTACTAGAAAATTAATATTTATTTATTATCCAAGGATACAGGCTGGTTTTATCTCTTTTCACACAAAATTACATAGTAATACATTCAGCATTTTGCTGCTTGGCTATTCATCAGCAAATAATTTCTTATAAAACCAAGCAGTAGTCCAGCTATCAGCGAAAGGCAGGCACGAAGCATCTCATTTTTTGAGACATGAAAATCTAACAGGAAAATACTGCTGCTTCCAAATCTTTCCTCTGCTGCCTGTGTTTAATAGTGTTGCTGTAAATATGCTTGTGGTGCTTTTGAAGGGTCCTGTGATGGCATCAACAGATGGCTGAAAACAGAACTTGTCTTCTGCACCCCCAGGACCAGGAAGAGCAGTGGCAACACAACACATGCCAGTCAGACTGATGCTATGTACTACCAATTATATGCCATTTCTCATAATCCAGATTTCTCTGTGTCCTTCAGTAGGACTTCTGTTTGCAAAAGTGTGGGCTTAGGATCTGCTCAGACCTGGGAGGTCTACATCTAGGAGTTGGATGGCAGGTTTGAAGTAGGTGGTTTAAGAAGGACAAGGTTTATTTACTTGGACGTCTGGTTTTCTGAATTACGGAGCATTATCATTCTGAACTATGACCTTTTTTTTACGTGTTTCATGGAAGGTTAGCACTCCCCTTATAAGGATGGAAGAGGCCCTGATGGCCTATACAACATGTGTAGGGTTAAGACACTGCCACCTACTTCATGGCATCTATGTTTAACCTGAGGGAGTGGCATGAAGTTGTGTCAGGGGAGGTTTAGGTTGGGTATTAGAAACAGGTTCTTCACCCAGAGGGTGACTGGGCACTGGAACAGGCTCCCCAGAGAAGTGGTCACACCATCAAGCCTGTCTAAGTTCAAGAAGCTTTTGGACAATGCTCTCAGGCACATGGTGTGATTGTTGGGGACCTGTGTTGAGGATGATCCTTGTGGGTCCCTTCCTACTCAGAATATTCCGTGATTCTGTGACAAGACTCATCTTTAAAGTTGCTGTTTGTCCAAATTCACTGGTGGTTGTTCAAAAATATTTCAGACTATCACACTGCATAAACATGGCTATTCCAGCATTTGAGGTATAAAGACGAATTCACAGAATCCCCTGCTATAGCTTACAGAAGACTTCTAAATGTGGCTGTTAAGTGTGCTGCCAGAGCTGAATCGGGATTTCTCCACAATACAGGTGAAATTCAGGTTTTGGATGTGTAGTGGTAAAATTCCCTTTTGCCTTGTTCTTGCAGGTGCTACCCTCCTTCCCACAAAGCACTAGGGAAATCCTGTAGAAAAGGAATGTAAAACAGTGCTATGCCCCACCACCCGGCACTCTCCTGCCTGACACTGAGTTGTGCTCTGGGAAGGAATACAGCAGGCACTCCTGGTTGGAGCATGGGCACAGAGAGAAGGAGTGAAGGTGCCAAAAGGGCTTCTAGTGAGCAGAGAAGCCCTGCATCTCTCTGTCACTTCTGAAGTCTCCCTATGGAGTGCACCAGGGAGTTTGCTGTGCAGTGGCAGTGGGAAGGCCATACAGATTAAGGTTCCCTCTTCCTCACTGCTAGGGCTCTGTACCATGGCATGGACTCTTTCAGTATTTCAAATCTTTTTTGGGAGTTTGTTCACTTTCCATGTGCACCAACCAGGTTAGCCTCTCATTCAGGTAATAAGTCTACAGCATTGCATGAGACCAGCAGCATTAGCAACAGCTGCCTAGCTCAAACCACATTATGAAACTTGTAGGCATAAAATGATTAACAAAATTTCTAAAATCTGAAGAAAATTTAGCGATGGCTGATTTCCCCAGGCACTCTAGAAATACCTTTTTCTTGTTGAAGACATATATAGGTCAGTCAAGTGTTATCAGTAACTAATTTAATGAGAAAGCTAATAGTTTCACTGCTTCAGTCATCAGTTTTTCTAAAGCTGACTCTATTTTCAGAAATCTGGTTTGGTTTATATATATATATATATATATATATAAACATACAAACAAGCAGCAAGCAGCACAATCTACAGATGAGTAACCTACCTCATATTTCATCAGAAGCCTCTGTCACTCCTCCTGTAGTTAGCACTTTTTCTCCCATTTACTAATTCTTTAAGGATTGACCTAACATTTTACAGTTTATCATGATTCAAGAGCAGAGCACAGCCGAGCTGTTTCAAAAGCACACTGAAAGCAATTTCACTTTGTAACCCAGGCCCTCTGATCCTACTTTGACAGTGTGTATTGAATCAGACTAGGAAAATGGTCTGAAATATTCTAGTCTCGCATATATTCTGAGCAAGAGAGGGGCAGAACATGACATCTGTGTGAGAGGAAAGAGCTGCCCTTTCCTAAGCACTCAGGAAAGCGTGCTGACACTTAGTATGGGGGTGGTCTGGCTTGGTGTTATGGCCATAGTTCATGCTGAATTTATAAAACTTCTCTGCCTAGTGTCTGGAAGATCTGTTACTTGTGATAAAGATCCCAGTACTGTTAGCTTGGAAGCTGCACAGGGCTCCCTGCCTACCTGCAGTCCTGCACGTAAGGAGAAAAAAACCCCATGGAGTGCATTAGAGCATTTTTTTCTTTTGTTAAAATGCCTAGCAAAAATCCTCTGTATAAAAATTACAAGTCACCACCTTCTGCAGCGACAGCACCTAGTGGTGTAGAAGGAAAAATCAATTCAAATTATACAGTAAGCAGTATGGCTGCCAAGGGACTTCCTGTTCTCAGCATTTCCTAACCCTTGAAGTGACCAGTCAGCGATAGCAATTAGACAATGAAGCAAACACTTCTTGAAAGGACTTATTAACCACTACTATCACATAGTATGATCATGGTCCCTTCTAATCTACTTTATCATCCTATTTTTCACTATGTACATATATTTGATCTGATGTGATGGGGGACTTTTATTTTTTTAAGGTTTTGTGGAGTAAATAATTAAATATCTAGCTACAGATAAGGAAAAAAATCAAGACACTGAGCAAGATCAGTGGTGAAAAAAACAGAGCTGGAATGAATCCCAAGTGATTTTCATTTATTCACCGAGCTGAAACAATTTCCTTGAAAGACACTACAGAGTCAGTACACAATGGTGCTCAAGAATGACACGAGCAGCACGCTGTATTTATAGTGAGCTATGAAGTACTATGAAACAGAAATTAGACACATTCTCTTCAAAGCTTGACAAAAGCTAAATATAATGAGGTGTCCTGACAAATAAATAAAAAAAATAAATGTATACAACTTATGGAAAAAGGACTTTGTTATTAAGGTAAATGTTGCTGTTTATTACCTGCCACATGCTGGTCTCATTTCTCCAAAGTAGCAAGCAATATGCTTCTGTTAGGGAAAACACTCATTTCAGTAGTGCGGATTTAGAAACAAAATAGTATTAATTTACATTCATTTTGAATTTTCTGCAAAATTTAATTTTAAATTTTATTTAATTTAATATATGAGACCACTCAGTTTCAAAATGCTATCCTAGGAGCTGCTCAAGTTGTACAAGGTGATGTTGAAGAAATCCACTATTAACAGCATTTTTCAGTCTCAGATCATAAAATCAAAATACAATGGCAAAAAACCATAGCCATAAATGAAACTGGATTAAAGGCATATAACCTCTAGGAAAAACTGATTAAAATGGCAAATTGTAAATCGATTGAAAGGTGAATTCTGTGCACAGAGTCATGACTAGTTGCAGAAAGACTGAAGAACACAGATATGGCCTATGACAAGCACACATTTATACAGGAACATGCTGCAGTCTCCTGTTACAAAGACAGCAAGGGAGACAACAATGCAAACAACGAGACTGGCAGTGCCAGGGCTGTGACTGAGCAGAAAGTGGCTTGACCCAAAGAAAACCTTTGAGGAAACTGAAAATTTTCAGAAGTCTTTGTAAAGAAGCTTTTTTAAAAGTTCTCAAAAGCAAATGGCAAAACTTTCCAAAAAATCTAAAATGACTTCTTTAAATTAAAAATTAGTAACTAGCTCTTGTGGCATTTTGTTTTTTCATTGTTACAGTAATACATAATGGTAGTCTCCCAACCTTATTTCAATATAGGAAAAAACATCCACTAGAATGTGGAACAACTGGAAAAGTTGTCTGATTTTGCTTTGAAAAGCCATGAGAAGTCTTTCCATTTTCCTACAAGAATCAGATGAGAGCAAAGCAAACGGATGAGGAGAGCTGGTTACAGTAGAAAGGCACGTATGAGATAGAAACAGAACTAGGTCAAATTGTGTGAAGTGTACATGCTTTATAAGGGAAAGCCTAAAAGTAAAGAAAGTGTGGAAAGGGATTCATTGCCTATCAAGCCTGAAGGAAGATAAAATACAAAAACAATTAAATGCTTGAAAGATTACAGTATTATCAATATTAAGAATGTGTATTAAAAATATTAGCATAATTGACAATGATTTAATATTGTATAATTTAAAGTGTAAGGACCTGCAAGAGGCTAGAAATGATAAATAGTGTTGTCAAAAGAAAAAGCAATCTCTTTCTGCCTATGTTTACTTTTTAAATATGTTACATCATGACTTTTTCAGTGAAACATTGAGATTTTGATTAAAGCAAGTTCTATAGGCTGTGGCTGTTTTCCATTAAAAAAACCAACAAATTTTCACTGAAAACAATCTTAGGTTTTCATGTTTACAATGAAAATTGTAGAGGCTTTTTAGAAAAAGAGCCATTTTCTGATGCAGGTACCTTCAGACACCTTAGAAGGAGGCCTGGAAGTGAACTCATGTTGAAATAGGTAAGACAGGAATTGAGAGAAATGAAAGCATCTTTGGAAAGGACATTTGTGGAAACAAAGACAAATGAGTGTTTTAAAAAAATATTTATGCTAGGCTGATTCAAATAACGCTGTGAGGCTCGTGAGCCATGGAAAGCAAGAAAATAATAGGACCAAATAGAGAACTGGCTTGGGAGATGGATAGAGCTCATACTCTCCACCACCCTTCCCAAAGTGATGACCCTCAAGATCCTGGGTGACCAGCTGAGGAGGAGCCATCCGCCCAGTGAAGGGCAAGTTGAGTAGCTCTACAAAGCTGTTGTAAAGCAGAACAGGCAATTAATGTAGGGAATTGCATGCACATGAGCTTCCGATTTGCTTGCATCTAAGCAAGCAGTTAGGTCTCACTGCTCCATGTACCCAACCACATGAGTTGTAAAGACAGTACTGAGAGAAAGAGATTTGCAGTTAAATTGCTTGAGCAGACTAAACACAGAAGGAACATTTTAAATTAGCTGGATTCAAATGTCAGCTCACTTAAAAAAATTAGAATTAATCTGATCTATCACTGTCTTGCACGTCTGTCAGCATCAGAAAATCACTAGCTGGCAAGAAAACAAAACTACCTGTCTGCTCTAGACCAGGACAGCAGAGCTATCAGATTTCAGGAAAGTTTTTTCTTCTCTTACAAAGGAAAACTTAGGGAAAAAATAAATTAGCTTTAAAAGAGAAAACTCTTCTACCATAGTGGTAAGAAAGAAAACTCAAATAGCATATGTTATTAATAGGGAGAGAGAATAGAAACTGTATTATTAATAAGAATACTAAATATTTACTTCAAATAATTGCATTCTTGTGACTGCTGCCCGTGAAATAAATCCCATTAATACAAAAATGGAATTATTCATTATTACTCCGTGCAGTCATTACTCTATTCACGCTTCTTTATTTTGATCCCAATCTTTATATTCCTCATGAACATCTCTCATTGAAGGCA